GCTCAACTCTGAAGAGTCTCATAGTAGAAGGAAACGGCCGTCCAGTGATTCAAGGTTTTCCATTTTGGTCTAGCTTCAATTGATTCATGATCTCAATTATTAAAAATTACTAACTGATTTGTGAATATTTAATAGGATGCAAAACCGAAAAAAACTCATCATTTCATTCATGAGACATCAAGTCTCAGTGATCATAATGATAAATATGTAAAGGTATTCGATGACAAACCCTGGTGCTAGTTTTTTTCTTACTCATTTTCAAACACAGAAACTATTAGATCAATGATTCCACTAATGAGACGGTTGACATAAGGTGACTGAATCTAATTAGCAACAGACCACTAGAAAGATATATTGTTATCCTAAGAGAATCGACACAACCTGTTGAATCCGAATCCATATTACTCAGTGTCATAGTTTCTTAAACTAGAAGCCATATAACAACTTTATCGACGAAATTCGATCAGCACTAACGACTACACAATATGATATTAATTAATACTACGTAATCTATTAGTCTTAGCTATGTATCTCTAAAACATAACTCTGTAATAGTGAACTTAAGGATGTTAGTTTTCGTTATGAAGCTTCCAAAGTAACTATAACATATTACCTACTTAAAATTAAGAACATTTTAACAAGGATACACACCGTTTCTTGAAGATATTGTTTATTTGTTGATTGGACATTTTAATAACTGAAATTTTCGTAACCAAATATTTTAGCAACAGTACACACAATGTTACAACCAAATAAATCCTTTCTGGATATTAGTGAAGAAAAGATAAGATTATTACTACAGACTGTTCAACTCATTTGAATCGGTTTTGACCCCTAAGATTCGTTAATAGGAACAACAGGAACAATAACGGGGCGGATTCGCATGCATATAGCATACAATTCTCTTTGAACCTAGCACACAACAATAGCATCATGCACTGTCCCATCGCCCATGACAAATCAGGCAACCTCAAAGTTGCGAAAACACCATCAGGGCATGCGACAGGCTAGGTACTTGATTTTAGAAGAATGAAAAAGCTATGTAATGTTTATGTTATTTCTATCTGGTTGGGTAAGCCCAGAGATACATAGTGGTGGTGTCCAATTACTATTCATCTTATCAACTATTATATTTTACATCAAGTAACTTGACAACACTGGACGGTCATTTCGTCCTAGTATGGGACATCCAATACTGTTATGTTTTCAGCAATGATCTAACTAACATCATTTCATGGATTAAAATCTCTGGGAAGTCTATAATCTCCATAAACTCCCCTATACTGTTAAGTATTAGTCTACAAATCTGTAAAATGTAAATTTTCTTTACAATATCAAATGCTTTGTTTATAAATCAGATTGACTTTGAAAATTCTCTCAATTACCCATCTTCATATTGGTACCGAAATCACTTTCTCATTAATTTATTCATTTCAACTTGATTGAATAGTTAAAAATGGTCACTCTATGTACCTGGAAACAGTTAACCTCTAAACAAGGTTCTTTCTAAAAGCTGTCATTTTATTCTAATTTCAACATTATTTCTCCAACTTAATTCAGTTTCCTCTTGTTTAACAGATGTTTCATGTTATTATTCAATTGTTTGTTTATGCAAATCAGGTCAGGTCACAAATTTCAATGTTGTCTTTACAACAGATATCATAGAAACATAGACTTATTCAACAATCTTCTTTCTTTTTTTTCATAGCTCTATATTTTGTAAACGTCTTGGCTAATGACTTAATTTGTCTTTATCAATCATGAAATCAACTTAGTATTCATAACAATGTTTTCTTTATGTATCGAAGTTAAAATTATTTCAGAATTTAAATGTATCAATGATGTTCTATTCTTAACAATGACATCATGTACCCAACCCATATTGATGTAAATCAAATGATATGAATAAATTCACATGGTATTGTTTGGCTTGTATCTTCCCATTAAGGTTTAAGACTGCAATTGATCAGTCATTACTTACAAAAAGCTTGTGAATTGAGGCAATATCGAGGCATACGCACAGTATTCACACATGCCAATAACAGACTGATCAACTGCAGTCTTAAACCTCAATGGGAAGATACAAGCCAAACAATACCAAGTGAATCTAAATTCACCCCATTGCACAAGCAAGTAGCTATCAGGACTTAGTAGCTGAGTGGATAACGCGATGGCGTTTGAAGCGAATGGTAATGGGTTCGAGTCGCAGAGTGAACATCAACTCGGAGATGCAGATACATCCGGCTGACGAGTTCCAAATAGGACGAAACACGCGTCCTGGATTCCACTACGAGCCACTATCCATCATTGCTTACAAAAACATGATTAAATGTTTTACTTGAATCTGTTACATAGAGATCAATTTTCAGCTTATCTGTGTCACTGATCTTTTTTTCTTGATCTTTAATCGAATTCAAGAAAATTAATCGAAATCAATGTTTTCTTAACAATACATAACTGAATGATGATACTGATTAGATGTAATATGACTAACAGTGGAATATAGGACGAGCGTTTCTTCTCATGTGGGACTTGTCAGTTGAATGTACCTACATCCCAGGGTTGTAGTTGTCAGTAGTGTTTATTTAGTTAATATTTTTATTACTGAATTGATCGGTTGACGGTACTGAAGTCGATTGTGATTAAATTTGTTTTTATTTATTGTTTCACTCAATTAATCCATTGAAGTATTTAAGAGTAAACTGTTAGTTTCCTATTCATTAAAGATTTTATCCTATTGCTGTTGATACTCAGGACCGAATTCTGGTCAATTTTTGTTGATATTTAAAGCGATAAGCAATGAATTCAAGTCTCATTGTGAACACTGACACTGGAGTATCGAGACATTTAACTGGAAAGGTCAAAATAGTTAAATACTTTATTTGCAAAATGGCAATCACTTGTCCCCGAATTGATTGTTCCTACATTCCCACATTAGTCATTCTCTAGTCGCATTTTCTTCTCTTCGATCTCCTTAACCTTCTGCCACTAAGCATTTAACTTTCGGCTGACGATACATACTACTTATAAATGTCGACATCAGTAGCACAGATCACACTACTTATTATTATTATTATTATTATTATTATTATTATTATAACGATTAATTTTGATGCTGTCGTTATTGTCTCACGATTTTATGTTCTGATTGATTTAATTTATAAGGTGTAGTCACTTTTGTCTTCTAACTGGATGAATCTACTAAAATGTATCAGTTTTTTTAGATAATGTTCTGTTTTAATTGTTTTTTTCACAATGTTAACATGTGTTTTCAATGTGTTTTTTCAATTTACCAATAAGAGACTATTTTTATGTTTATTATGCTTAAACTGACTAGTGTTTCAATAATTATGATCATGAGTCCACCGTGAAAAACCTGGAAGCGCTGGACGGCCGTTTCATCCTACTGTGGGACTCCTCAGCATTGCGCATCCACGATCTCACCTCGCGAGATTCAAACTCAGGACTTATCAGTCTTGTGGATGCGCACTGTTGAGGAGTCCTACAATAAGACGAAGCGACCGTCTGATTCTTCCAGGTTTTCCATGATGGTCTAGCTTCAATTGACTAATGATCTCAACCATTGAAATTACTATAATGTCCACAACAATCCCTTCTGATATTGACTAATGTTTGTTCTACGCTAGAGTAGATGATTACATGTATATGATTCTAGCCTGTGTATATGATAGATTTATTAATTAAATCTGTTAGTTGCTTTAAGCATTCAGTAGGCACAAGATGAAAGGTCGTCAGGAAATCCTCCAGATAATTGACTATATCTTGAAACATTCTATTAAAAAAACTTAAGCTTGGAAATAAAAAAAATAAACACATTCAGTTTATTAGGATTCTAAGACGTTTCTCTCAGATAATCATTTCATTACTGTACAGAGGTAGCACAATTTGTTGAGATTTTAATCACAGCTTTCAGTCATCCATTTTGTATTTTGTAGGAAATGCAGTTTTCTCCTTTCATTCAATAGTCTCTGATTTAATTCAAACCCGTAGGATACACACAATTTTCTAATCTATAACGAACATACTAAATATATACTATACTTCTCATTGATGGAATTAATGGCTTTGATAGAGATGACTTGGCACACAAAGAATAGAGAATAAATTACTAGACTTCAAATATTTATTGTCGCTATGTTAATATATGTAGGTGTAAGTTGATGTGTCAGTTGCTATGTTAAGCCCACATAGCTCATTCTGGCTTCCGAGCAAGCCAATATATTCATTCTTCTTAAATCACATTTTAACCTTATCAATTATACGTTCATTAACCTGGATTGTTTTTTTTAAGCGTTTGCTTGTGCATATCTTATCCTACTCATTACATGTTCGTAACTTATTTTTAACTGGTTATAAATATTGATTAACACTTGGTTAAATCGAGTTGGCTCACACGTTTTCGTCACTGCGTGTCATTCCGTTTCTCTCTTTTCACTTCGTTTTCTTCGCTTCGTTTCTGTGATCGTTGGTCTAGATCAATGATTGTATGAAATATACATATTCGAGATGCATTCTTGTAGTTGAGTTATTTTATTCCGTTCTTAACCAACGCGAGTTAAGTCTATGATAATATACGAGGACTGGAGACATGTATATTTTGATGACAAGTAGCAAACAATCTACATCGAGTCATATCACGGGCCACAAAAAATTAAAACAAAATCAACTTTTCACAAATCACAAAATTTGGAAGCAAACTGTCTTTTCAATCAGGTTGAGTCTGGTTAATTGTTGTTATCATCATTATGTGCTTTTAGGTTGTAAATCAGCTTGAAAATTCATATCTTGTCACAATTAGTTACTAAATACAACAACGGAGTGAAGTTGTAGGTTTGTCCTTCACATATCCTTTCAGAACCATTACCATCTTAGAATATCACCATATTTTATCTTACAAACTGATCTACTCTTTTAACATGTTCATTCATTTCCAACATTTCCTAATAAATTTTCTAACACTTTCTTTTATTTTCCTTCAGCCTTTAATAATAGGTACCAATAATGGAATAGGATGTTGTTATACTACATCTAATCGTCGAATTCAAAATGGAAATATTCATTGTGAACTTGATGTGGAATCAGCTGATTCTGGACGTGGAGCTAGTGAAGATGATCCAAGTCAATTAGGTGGACAATTTATGCATTTTATCCTACATGTCATGTATCTAATTTACAACATCCAACAACAATTACTCATATAAATAATTCATCATCTATTAATATAAATGGAACAACAACATTAACATGTGTACAAAATATGAAAGGAAATGATAATTCAACAAATAATTCTTCTAGTATTGTTATTTTACCCGGTGGAATAATCAATGAAAATTGTTCTAGTGTTGGCAGTGAACAATCAAAATTAAATTGGAATACTAATGACGTTGTTCGTCGATTAAAATTATAAAAAAAAAACAACATCAGAAGTTGAATATTGATTTTAAATTGTTTAGGTTCAAATAAACTTTACTCAAACTTGTTTCTATGTATCATATTTATATTTCACTCTTTTCTATCTATTTACATGTTTGTTTCTCTCTCTTTCACAGTATCTATCTATTTCGTTCCTTTTTTTTTGGTGATTTTTCTTGTCAGTCAATATGAAAATGTTTTATTTTCAACGTGGTTTTTCTTTTTACAAAGTTCTTATGTCAAATGTAAAAAACTATACGTTTAATCCTCCATCAATTATCTCAAACTTCATCATTCCATCAATGCCACCATAACAATTACTCTTTGTTCCTGTTCTCTTCAATTTGATCTTCTTAATCATCTGCTATCAGGGTATTCCGCTTCTGGCAGATGTTATATATTATTTAGGTCGATATAAGTAACATACACCAAGTACTTACCATTAGGTCGAAAGAAATACTCCAAGTAATAATAATAATAATAAGGTTCGGTTTAGTTATATAAATTATTCAGCTTTCAAAAATAATATTAAAAATTTAACCGTTTGCTGTCCACTTGATGTTAAAATACTGTATAGTCATTTTTAAATAATGACACAAGTGATAATGTGAATCTTACTAATAAGTACTCAGTTCTTGTTAGATAATAACAATAGAAATATTTTCTCATGAAGAATAGAAACTAAATTGATAATTTATTGATTGAAATCATGAACCGATTGATGTTAGACCATCATTGAGAACCTGAGAGCACTGGACAACCGTTTCATCCTAGTATGGGATTCCACAGCAGTTCGCATCCACGATTCCGCATCAAGGGGGCTCGAACCCACAACCTTCGGTCTCATGTGTGAATACTTCAACTCTAGACCATTGAACTGGCATCCAATGGTGTCAATGTCCACGCTCGCGGGATCGTGGATGCGGATTGCTGAGGAGTCCCACAATGGGATGAGACGGCCATCCAGTGCTTCCAGGTTCTCAATGGTAGTCTAACATCGGTCGGTTCGTGATCTCAGTTAATAACTTATTAATCTCCACAACCCCATACTGATAAATTAATAAGATTATCTGAAGTTTCAGTGAGTCGAGGAATCGTCATATTTCAAGAGATTTAGTAGTTATCGTCCGTAAAACCAGAAAGGTAATACCAACATAAAATTATCTTCACAATTATATGATCAGAGAGTCATTTTCAGTTGATGGAGTCTGAAGAATGCTATTTATACTAAGTTAATGAGGTTTTGCATAGATTTACTGTTACGAAGAGTATAAACTTAGGTTTATCGTTCATTAAAGTACCATCTCAAGAATGTAGAAGTCTCCAAACAGAAAAAAGTGAGTAAGTTAGTCAACAGATTTTTTATTAATCACTTTTAAGAATTGGAAACCTATTGAAATGATGAATAAGATTAGTAGCTAAGGTGGGTGGTTTTAATGGAATTTCGTTCCTTAAGTTGGATGATTTAGTAGACTGAACCATCCTGACAATTTGTTGTTTGTCAATATCGATAAAAAGTAGTCACACAGGCTCGTAATGATTCCTTTCATGTGTAATACGTTCAATATATATATGGCTTTTATACTATAATTGGCTGCTGACATTAGATTTCAATCAGGGGGATTTTTGTTTCAACCTACTACTGGTAAGTTATTGTTTTAAACAAATCGATTGATCGCTGTGATTATAGATCATCCATTCATTTATGTGAATAAAACATGAACAATCCATTTTCACTGGATCTTCAAAATTATGCCATTTCAGCAAGATTGTTTTACAGTTTTTGTACACGGTACAAATGGGTCGTAACAAAATATTGATAGTCCATCCCTCTTAAACATTTCACAAACAGTGGTGGAATCGAATAAATTTTGTGGATGCTTGGGAAAATTCTGCTTCATAGTCCGATTGTTGTTCAATTATATTAAGTAGGAAATATCTTAATGAACTAAACTATCCAGACATACTCAGATATTAAATTATTTGTTTTAAAGCCTTGAATAATTCAGTTAGAGCAAATGATGCAAAGTTTTTAGTGAAGGGTTGTGGAGATTTTTAAATTTCATTGAAAAACACGAACCAGTCAAAGTGCCCATTTGTGACTGAATTCGAGAGGAAATTTCTGGAATTCTAGCTAGAAGCCGTGACCAGTGAGTATTGACTATGTCGACTATGGGGAAGTTGCTCAATGAGAACATTAGAAGATATTTAGGCACTATCGTGGGTTGAATGAAGTTAGAATTGAAAACCTTGGGCTTCCGAATCAGTGAGCGAGCTATTTCGAAGATCGTAGGCTCAACTCTCGCTTACACGGTTGTCACTGCCTATTTTTAAGAGTCTTATACTAGGAGAAAACTGGCGTCCCGTACTTTGGTTGTTTCGTAATTTTAATGGGACTAAACATTTGTATTGGATAATATTAGTTTAATTAAATAAATGGAATAGTTCGTTACCGTAAGTTACATCATATTTAAGCATAATCTTAAGAACGTTAGATTGAAGATAATTAAATACATGCATTCGTAATTTCCCACAGGCTACATACTTCACCTTAAAATTTAAGCTTACTGATGAGCTACATATGTAGTTTATTACAGTAATAAGTGCTTCTGTCAGTAGCTTTTTCGCCTCACATTTAGATGTTATGTAACACTGCCTAATGATAGACAGTCACTCAATATTCTTTATAAAATTTCAGCAGTGTGTATCGACGAACTGAAATGAGATTAAGCTAAAGTTTAATATTCTTATTTGCAAACTATAGATTTTCATTGTTAATTTCAGAATCTAGTCTTTCAAAGTATGGAATTCATTACTATCAAATTTCCCTCAAATGCCCTGGTACGGTCGAGGGTAGGGAGAGTCAGCTCTTCCTCTCCGAATATAATCACATGGCCACGCGTATACATCCACTACCAGGGAAGTCATACTCACTGACTATTCGTGGCGGCGCTGTTGTTTACGAAATTGAGAGGACGATAGGCGAGTGTTAGGCACTTTAACCGGGTTGCCGGATAAGGACAATCCACCTATGGGAGTTAAAAATTTTTGATTCCAGGATCCTGAAGGAACAAATGACGTATGAATCTACTGTCGGTCACCGACTACCATGAAACTGCATCTCCTTACTTTGCTCCGCTGCCATGTGGATTAGACCTTTAGATCAAAGGCTTGGTGAATAATCCTCTAAGAAAACCACCTGTTTCGGTCTTGGCCCCCAGACCAATATTCCAGCCTTCACACAAGTTGGATGAGTTGTGTGGCGCATATACATTTGATGCTTTTTTGTATCAATGTCTAGATGTTTAAATGTTGAGGCTAGAAATTAACACCGTTGGATGCGGACGGCTCAGTGGTCTAATGGCTAGGCGCTCGCGCGCGAGACTGGTAGTTCTTGGGTTCGAATCTCGTGGGGAGCGGGATCGTGGATGCGCACTGCTGAGGAGTCTTGTACCAGGAAGAAACAGCCTTCCAGTACTTCTAGATTTTCCATGGTTGTCTGCCTTCAACTGACTCATAATTTCAACTATTGATATAAATAAGTTCTGTAAAGAAAAGGATAATTCCAAACCATGTCAAACTTAAATTTTACACTCTAGAAATAGTTAATTAGTCAATTAGTTATTCAAACAAGATGACTTACATTTTAATATAAACTAATTAAATATCCTGTCTCGATTTTAGTTACATTGATAAAAGGTCGAAATATAAAAATGTTTAAAGATGAATACATTCGAAATACTAGTTAATTTAGTAATGACATTGTAATATGATACAATGACAAAATAACACTGATGAATACAAAATGGGTATTTGTGTATGTATGTATGTATGTATGTATGTATGTATGTATGTATGTATGTATGTATGTATGTATGTATGTATGTATGTAAGTCTAGTTATTAGATTAAAAACAATACCCATTTAACGCCAAGAAAATGAATTGGATTTTAAATCTTTAACATAAATAATCAAAAGAAAATGCACACTTGTAAGTAATGAGAAGTTGTGACCAGTGGAGTCCAATCTGTATCGAGTAGAGACAGGTATCTACTTCAGACAATCAATGAAGGATTGTGCAAGATCATGAATCGATTGAAGTTAGATATTAACACTGTTGAATACCGGATCAGTGGTCTAGGAGGTTAAGGGTTCGCGAGCAAGACCAAAGGTTCTAGGGTCATGAAAGCTCACTGCTAAGGAGTTCCATAATAGGATGAAACAGCTTTCCAGTGCTTCCAGGTTTTCAGTAGTGGTCTAGCTTAGATCAACTCATGAATTCAACTATTAAAAAAACACTTGTAATTGTTGTTCGTTTCTTTTCGTTGTTGTTGTTGTTGTTGCCGACAAAAACGTATTCAGATTATTAATAAGTTGGTCGACCCTAAATGTGTGAAATACATAATTAATTTTCATCTGTTTCAGTTAACTAAATAAATAAAACTGAAACCGGTGAAATAAACGATTCTAAGAAAAAAAGAATTACATACATTTAGCCAACTTTCGGTGGGAATACTAAACATTTCCATTTGACATAACTGACTTAACCTGACAAAGGAGATAGTCATCTGATAGTTAATCGTAATATGCTGGTATTATAGTAAACGAAAACACAAGTGGGGGACGACTAGAGGGATTTCATTACATTACAGAATATCTTGGTAAAATCTGAGAACTATACAGTAAATAATTCATTTTCAAAATATCTATCAATTATCTCAGACTTCATTGTTCCTTCGTTTCTACACCAATCACCCTGTATTCTCGTTCTATTCTCTTCAACTTCTCTCAACCTTCTGCCACCAGACATTCCACTTCCGATTAGTGATACATACTACTTACGTCTGTCGACATCAGTAGCATACACTGTAGTATAGATAGTTACATAATTTTATCACATAAAAATTGAATACACTTCCCAAATGTTTTGTTGAATGTATTGTAATTAACTTCCAGTTAGTTGATCTAAACTTCAAACAGTTTTACATCTTTAACGTTGATTGAACACAGTACTTCCAGAGTTCTTCATGTTATTTGAAAACATTAAAAATTACATTATATAGGCAGAAAAAATATCATAAAAAGATCAAACATGTTGAACGAACGTTAAAAGGTTGAAAAACTAAAGTTTGAACGTAAGTAATAGATGAAACATAAAGAAGCAACTCAAAAACAAGGAATGATTGCATACAGTCGTCAATATCAACAACGTGAAGATAAAGGTCCCTACCAATTTCTTCAACATAATTCACAATCTCACCAGCCTACATAGTTAGTAATCAAACATGTCATCTCTACATTTGCAAATAACAATCATTATTTACAATAACCCATGTGGATGATCTAAGCATGTAGGTGTGTGTATGTGTATTAATATCATGCAAGAAACGAGTATTCAAAAATTGAGTCAAACTGAAAACTACTGGTATTTTCATGGTTAGCGGTTCATGAAGCAGATTACTGAATCCGATTCGATGTTCTATTTCGTGGATAATCGACCAAACAAATATTATAAAAAAATAAAGTAATCCATTCAATATGGAGTATTCA